CAGACATAGAGAGAGAGAGACAGAGAGAGACAGAGAGAGAGAGAGACAGAGAGAGAGACAGAGAGAGAGACAGAGAGAGAGACAGAGAGAGACATAGAGAGAGAGACAGAGAGAGAGAGAGAGACAGGGAGAGACATAGAGAGACAGAGAGAGAGACAGAGAGAGAGACAGAGAGAGAGAGAGACAGACAGAGAGAAACAGTTTGATAAAGACCTAATTACAGTTAAAAAGTGTTGTCTGCACTGGGGTAGACCCATCGAACTGATACCACATTACAGAGGAGGCAAAGTGCCGTAGCGACAGAAACCATGAGTCCCCTGCAGGTGATGATATTCTGCCTTTGATGCTGATCTGATGCTTCGTTTTTTAATATTTAAACAAAACTGGTCTTCTTTTATTGACATAGAGTGTTTTTTTTCTTCTTTTATTGACATTGAGTGGTTTTTTCTTCTTTTATTGACATAGAGTGTTTTTTTCTTCTTTTATTGACATAGTGTTTTTTTCTTCTTTTATTGACATAGAGTGTTTTTTTCTTCTTTTTTTTCAAAATTATATTAGATTTTTCTGATAGATTTTTAAACATTTTACTTTCTATAATATATAGATTAAATTTTTTATTTTGTATTAGCTGTATTACCAATGTGTCCATGCCCATCACATATCGCCATCAACTCCTTCCCCCCCCCCCCCCCCCACCCTTTTCAAAAGTCGTTTTCTTTTTTGTTGAATATATTCAGATTAATAAACTATTTTTTAACAAAGAGGAAAAAACCAACTTGTGACATTTTAAAAAGCTTGCGTCACGATGAACTCTGCAAAATATTATCCACACCAATCAACCAAAAATCATCATCGTTTGTCTGAAAACAAACGCAGCAGACAGACACCACTGGAATGATCATAATTTTGTTAAAGCATATGTTTACCCTTTACAATTCCTCACAATCAACATTACTACGTCTAGATGAATACACTGCAGACTACTCAAAACACAGATGACGTGAGAACGCGCCAGTTCCTATGCTCTAGTCAAACGTGATGCTGGTCCTCAGGAATATGTTGTCATACAGGGCGGGTTGCAAGATGATAGTTTTGAAGAGTTTTTTTTTCCAAAAAACTTTACCACTGTCATTTTAAAAAAAAGAAAAATTGGCGAAATATTTCGAACATTTAACTAGATTGTCGTAAAAGAACTTGTCGTAATTTTAATCAAATCGTTTAATTGTAAGCTAATAATTATCCTTGTTCGTCTTAAATCTCAGATCATTTGTTTAAATTAGTCACATTTATGAAACTCAAATTATTACATATTTATTAAAGGACCGTCAATTTGTTTTTGACGAGCAATAAATACATAGGGCCTAGTCTTCGTTGGAAGAGGCTTAAAGAGATTTGATTAGTCGAAATCGTATACATTTAATTTATTCTTTTAAAATTTAAATATTTTACAGGAAACAGTATAGCTGAAGATAAAAACGAAATTCTAAATAAATACATTATTGTGAGATATGAATATTAAATGAGCTTTGTTACACGTGAATTAAAAGAAGAAAAAAAAAAACTACGTTTATTTAAGTTCATTAAAATTTTGCGTCACTTTGACTGGGTAAAAATAGCTAGTGGGTCATTGTTTAAGAAGGCTGCATTTAAGTAGGACTATTGTGATCGAGAATACGAGGATTACTAACCCTTGCCTCTTTTCGTACAACTAGCCAAAGTTAACATAATATGTTATTCAATGCTAGCAGAGTGAGCAGATTAGTGTATAGTATATTAGCTTAGTCAGTAGCCTACAGGTAAACTGACTCATAGAGTAAAAAAATATATATTAAATATCATCATTCTTTGTTCGGCTCGTCCCTCATTTTTTTTTAAATTTTAAGTGGGCGCGCCTGGCGCTTGTTACGCTTCTCAATGTGTAAATATAAGTACAAGTTACACAAGCAATTTTGGTAAAACATATTTTGAATAATAAATTTGAGTCATTTAAAAGGAAATTCCCATTAAATCTGACACATGACCACGTCATTAAAAAGTAAAATCCCTTATCTATCCGATTCCAAAATTTGGAATCATCCTAAACTGCTTCTGACAGTGACATCAGCAATCTCTGTCTCGATATTCACAGCAGAGCGGGTGTGCGAGACCAGGTAAGTTGCTAGTCCTGCCAGGGGCGTAGCTAGGGTTGGTGTCACCGGGTGCGGTAAACTGAAGGTATCATCCCCCCTACCCCCCCCCCCACCCCGAGATGGATTTTTTTGTTTGTTTAAGTAAAGAGGGGGTGTGCGGGACCAGGTAAGTTGCTAGGCCTGCCAGGGGCGTAGCTAGGGTTGGTGCCACCGGGTGCGGTAAACTGAAGGTATCATCCCCCCTACCCCCCCCCCCCACCCCGAGATGGATTTTTTTGTTTGTTTAAGTAAGTCCATAGTATAAAAATGAACAAACAAAACAATTAATTGATTGAAGGTCAGGAGGTCAATGTAGTTAAGATCTGAAACAACGTTAATTTATAGTTATTTTTTAAAATTAAATTTACTTTATTCAAAATGTTCTTTTCCTGATCTTCAAAGCTGAAAACCTGTAAATCACAAGCTCAAAATCAATATCCATAGCCGTATCACTTTCAATTGACAGTAGCGCCAGATGAGAAAGCCTTGACTGTTCCATGGTGGATGGTAAAAAAAATTTTTTATGAGACTTAGTTTTGAAAAGTTACGTTCAGATAAAGCCACAGACACGAGGATCATAAGAAACATTTGAAGGCTTAGCGAGAGTATTAGAAGAGATTCTAGGAAGTCCCATTCAGCCATTCACTTAATTATAGAGTCACATAACTTCTAACGCATCACACTTGAACTCTTAAATAAGCACACATTTGTATTTATTACATATGTAAAAAATAAATATGCATGTGATCAGATATCCTTTCATGAAATGCGGTTAGACCGATAGTGTGTTCTCTGTATGTATGCATTTTTAAAAAAATAGGTGTCACGCCATGAGATGGTGTCACCCGGTGAGGCTCGAATCACCCGCGACCTCCTAGCTACGCCTCTGAGTCCTTTTATGAAAAATACCCACAATATAGCATCTTTAGTTTGGCCACAGTGGTTTAAGATAGACAATGTCTTCACGATAAACGTTCTCTGACTGCCTTAAGTCTACATGTGACGATGGTTCAAAACTAGCATTACAACTACTGTATTTGCAACTAAGTGGACTGGCTATGTTGATCTAGGTAAGGGTTGCACATCCTTAGTCGCGAGAAGGAGTTTAACGGAGTGCGAGGACAAAGTGAGTACAGCGTGTAACAACAGAGGAGCAATCAGCTTTTAAGTTTTAATGCATATATTTAATGTTTAAAAATAAATTTTTCTGAACATTTTAGCTATGTATAAGTCACAAGTTTATTTTCTAAGTTCTTGTGGTTCTCTATGCAATTTTATTTTAAAAAAATAAGACGTCCATTTTCTAAAAAAAAAATTAAAAATCCATTTTCTCTTTAGGGGATGAGGTTTACGGAAACAGTTAGTTGGTTGGGGGGGGGGCAGTGGCGTAGATAGGGGATGTGAGGGGGGGGTGGACCGCACCGGGTTGGTGCTACGACCAGTGAAGTTAGGCTTGCGAGACTAAGTCAAACAATTCGTGAGGGTTGCAGATTAAAAAAAAAAATTAAGTTTGAGAAACACTGAACTTGATTATAGTAAATAGCAGTTTACGCGAATTTAACCAAAGGTAAGTTGCTAGTGTTCTTTCCCTCTCAATTCTTTAGTTAACTTTCACGTTTTACGTGCACGAATGAAGGAGGGACCCTGTCTTATCTTTGGTTCGGACAATACCCATACAGACATGTCTTGTAAAGTTCTTGTCATGTATCATTTTTTTTCATGTCCTATTTTTAATGCTTACTTCAGCTGCGAAAACATGCGATACATAGGTAACAAATACGTATGGGAATACCTGTAGCACGTCATAATCTATTTTAAAAAAACGTATATCACCTCAGTAAGCGAGACACGGATATTCGGTTGTCAGTATCCAAATGGAATCACTCTGAGGCGGTGGATCCCTTGATTCATAAGATTAATTTTTTAAATCGTTGCAGATAGTTAACAATGGCTTGGAAGTTATTTCAAATATGTGCGACAATGAGCCGTACTTCCCCTAAAGTCGTGTTTTTTATCATTTTCTGCTGGTTAATGGTAGGGACGCCATCGACCGCAACAGGTGAGTCATGAGATGCAATGTCTTGACCTCAACTGAATGTATGTAAATTTAATTCTATATTTTTATTGTTGAAGTCACATAAGAGGTTAAGTGTGTTATGATGGAATCTATGTTTGTACAGATTAAGTACATCTACAACATAACTATTTATTACAGTCATTTTAACATATTTAAGTGTATGTGTTTCTTGCCAGTTTAAACCCCCAACAATGATTATCAGTAACACACCGGGCATATGGAGGACACATAGCTTGAAATTCAAAATGACATGCTTTTATAATGCACACTCACAATAGGCGATATCATTACAGAAATAAATAAATGGATATTTATATATATTTATCTATTGGCCATAGCAAATTTTTAGTTCATGCAGTTAAAACGGTATACTTAAGATGTTATATATATATATATATATGTATCTGTCTAACATAGTATATTAGACAAGTGATGCAATTTACGTGTTTAGAGTAGACCGTTTAGCAGCTGTGCGTCTTTATTGGGGAATAAAACATTTAATTTGTGATTCCTTTTTGCGTCGCGTTTAAGGGATGTCCGCCATTATTTTAAATACTCTTATAAATATAACGGTGTCTTAAATAAAAATTACAGCCGAAATTTAGTGAATGATGCATTGTGAATATGCTAAAGTAGCATAGATACAAACGCTCTATAAATATTCAATTCATTAATAAACGCTTTGTGTTTGACACAGATATGACTGATCCGAAGAGTTATGACAAGGGGACCGGATGTACACAAGATAAAATCAAATTCTGCCCCTATTACGGATCGTGCTGTCGAATATCGCAGTACTGCAGCCACAGGTCAAGGTCGTGTGAGCCCTGTTATTCGACTTCGCTTAAAAAACCCGAGCTGTTCAAAAATTGCTGTGAGAAGGGTCCCCACGATGTAAGCTGGATGGCCCATGAAACCTGTACTTATGCTTGCTTGGACAATTTTACCCTGGCGGAACTAGGTGCTTGCGTCAGTAAGTATTATTGTAAATGATTGTGAATGATTGTGAAAGATTTTGAATGATTGCAAATGATTGTTGATGATTGTGATTAAACAGAATGATATTTGAAATATAAATCAAAGACTCGGAAATTCAATAGCGGTGTTGTTCGAAATGAAGAACTTCATAACCAATTTTTTTTTTTTTTTTTTTTTTTTTTTTTTTTTTTTTTTTTTTTTTTTTTTTTTGCATTTGGCCTCAGAGCCCGGCTAAGACATGCAGAGGTGGCAAGGAAACTTTGCCATATCCATTAAGCGTATCCGTTATGATGAGTTAAGGTCAACTTATAGTTACATCCAGGATTAGCAAATTTTAATTTAAAAAACTTGTCTTTTTATTTCAAATTTTCGATCGCTTATTCACAGAACCTGTCAGCTGGCATTGTTTAATTTCTTCTTGCCTGTGCTGTCATCAAAAGTCGACAGTCTTTTCAAAATCCTCCATTTTATTTTTGATAAATGTCTTGAAAAGTTTACGGCTTGAATTGTCTCCCTTCATTTGTGTATCTCCCATTAATTCTATAATTTTGTATTTATGGAGATATCTCAGATGTCGGTGCAAAACCAAAACAACCCCCCCCCCCCCTCCCCACCAAAATTTGAAATATATTGTTTGGCAGCCACTAGGTGTGAGGGCCCCTAGTCAGCTGCGTTATTTGGCTTTTAATTCATCCAGTGCTGATTAGACTCATGAAACTTTATCTTATAGCTCCATGCCTGTCAAAACGGTGCTGGTCTTGTAATCATAAAAGATCGTAGTGCGGGTGACACGCCAACTGCATATAGAATGAATATGTGCTGCTCTTGTAATGATGCTCTTTAATATAGTTTCGTGTCTTGCTATATGCAATTGTTTATAGAATTCTGGCCCGGATTCGTTAAGTTAATTCATTTCTTTTTTTTTTTAACATGTAGCAAGCCCACCTCAAAAACATTTTCTTTAGGTTTAAAAATTATGACATCGGAAATACCCGCAATTACATCCATAAAAATACTTAAAATAATCTTGGAAAGAAATGCATGTAAAAGTTGGGTATGAATCCACAGATAGTACGGACGTCACTGAGTCAAACAACACTCAAGTTGATGTATCTGATGCAATAGGCCGAAATATCCAGGGCGAACAAAGTGAATCGCAGCACGATCTCACGCCACTATACATAGTTTTGAGTAAGTTGTTTAATTGAAATGTTTATAACGACACAGGCTCAACTAGAGAGGAACTGAAATAACGATTATTCACTTACTTAAAAAAGCAAAGCATCTTTTTTTATGTAAAGCAACAGAAAAAAAAATTTGAAGTTATTAAATCCATTGGTTTTCACATGGTTTCATAGAAAGCGTTCGTAAAAAAATAAAATGTGTAGTGGCTTACAGTGCAGTAAACACTGGTTTAACAATTCAGCAGGTTAACAGATTTATGTGGTAAGCTGTTGCATGAAATTTAAATATGTATAGTTGGCTAGGATTAGTGGCACCCGTTGGGGGGGGGGAGGAGGAAAAGATGTTTGAACCCTACTTCCTCAAAAAAAAAAAAAAAAAAAGTATATATATTTGGCCTTAAATGCTGCCGCTCCATTGAAGAAAAAGATGTTGACCGGGGTGGACCACCCACCCCACCTTCCTACAGCGTTGTAAGAGAAATACGGAGAGGACGGCGTTCAGATTGAAGCAATAAGAAATATACGGAAAGGGTAGGGGAAAATCTTGAAAAAGGGACAACACGAAAAACATGGACGGATTTAATTTATATTTAAAGTTACAAAATGGATCTAAATCGCACCTGTGTAGCGACCTGGGAGCCAAGTAACGAGTTTAAATCTTGGACAGTTGAAAGGAGTGTGGAAAATGGCTTAAAGTCTGTTACAGTTCCTGGTATAGTTTTATCACAGTCCCACACTCTTATAACTACAGATTACGTGATTTCCTCAGCTGAACTATATGAGCCCAATTTAACAGAATCATTGGTGGAATTTGAACAATTCTATAATGATTACATTGACTCATAAATGATAAGATCAGAGGGTTAAAGATTTTTACTAATTACTTTTACGCATTAAAAAAAAAAACAACTTTGAAAATAAAAATAAAATTAGAACCATGTCAAAAACAATTGAAGACTACAGGGGAAAAACCACAGTTGTCCAATTTTACACATTTTCGCGTTTGCGTCCCTTTCATCGAGTACTGGTGCTTAACTATGACCTCTGAAAATATACAAGCGAAAACCCACCGTAGTCACCCGTTATTGAGGTATTTAAAAATAGGCTACAATGGAATAACAACCGATGTCCAATGTTTACAAAGGAAAAGTCACAGCTGTCCAAGTTATTTTGGTACAAACCAATGAGAATCTAGAGAAAAGTCACGTGACCGGCTAGCAACATTGCAAACAACAAACATGGCGGATGTTGTAGATAAACCGATCGTCACAGATAAGCCGAAGAAAAAACAAGTTACTGGACGAAAAAGAGAGTTTTCTCGAGATGAGAAGTTAAGAAATCATGTTACAGGGCCACCTTGTAACTGTAAGGTGCTAAAATGCTTCCAGATTACTACCGAAGATGACAGGTCAAAGATGATTTCCCATTTCAATTCGTTGAAAACAAAAGATGAGCAGGATGCATTCCTTGCCTCGCTCATTTCAGTTCATTCAGTTCAGCGTCGCCGTAGCAGAAAGGAAGAGCCAACAGAGGCAGAATTTCACAACCATTCTTATAAATACCATATGAATATTGTTAGAGATGGTAGATGCACTCGAATTGATGTGTGTGTCAAGGGATTTATATCTATATTTGATGTGACAGAAAACCGTGTCAGGAGAATCAGGGAAAGCCTAGCAGCCACAGGTGGGTTAACTGATTTTGTTTTAATTTAAACCAACCACTTTTTATTAATGGAAAGTATGTAAAGACTTTCTTTAATAAATGATAATCATTTTTGATATTACTGATATAGAACAAAAGAAGCCACTGCCACTATGTTAAAGTTAAGCCTTTAACTTAAAACTAAAACTTAGTAAAACTAAGTATTGTACTTGTACATGTTACATCTGGGCAAAAGACTCATAATCTTAACATTTTTTCCTCTGTTTTTTTAAATATATTTTAATCTAGAATACGAGAGAAAAGATGATAATAATAATAGAAATGTTTATAAATAAATAAATATATTAAATAATAGAAATATCATAACTTATTCTTTGTATTAAATTTTATTATTATTTTGTTTTTCCTAATTAGGTTTGCCATGCAAAGACATGCGAGGGCAACATAAAATCAGACCACATGCTTTTTCTGCTGTAGATGTTGATCTGATCATTCAGCATATTCAGTCATTTAGAGGACGTTCCTCACATTATGCAAGAAACAAGACCACCAGATTGTACCTTTCAGAGGACTTGAACATTTCTAAAATGTATACTATGTTCAAGGAGAAACACCCGAATCAAAAATGCTCATACGAAAGCTATCGTGGTATTTTCAACAGCAAATTTAACATTTCATTTGGGTATCCAAGGAAAGACACTTGTTCAGTATGTGACAAAATAAAGAAAAAAATGGAATGGGTAGACAGTCAAGTAGGCCTACCTGTCGAGTCTGATGGTGAAAACACATTATTAAGCCAGAAGAACGAGTTAAATGTTTCGCTTGAGCTCCACCAGAGGAAAGCTGAAGTGTTCTACCAGAGGAAAAGAGCTGCTCGATTTGAAGCACAACGCTCAAATGACTTTGAGGCAATCTGCTTTGATTTCCAAAAAAATTTGCCATGCCCCAACATTTCAACGCAGGATGTATACTACTCCAGACAGCTGTCATTCTACTCCTTCAACATCCATGTCCTTTCATCCCAAAAAGTTTATTTCTATTGCTATGATGAGACTGTGGGCAAGAAAGGCTCTGATGACGTGTGCTCAATGCTCCATGATTATTTCACAAATCAGCTGCCACATGAAGTGAAACAGATCAAGTTGTTTTGTGATTCTTGTGCTGGGCAAAACAAGAACTGGACTGTATTACGTTTTTTATATTATCTAGTTCATAAAACAGAGCGATTTGACAACATCACAATGTCATTTCCAGTTCGAGGACATTCCTATATGGAATGTGATAGAGATATGGCCAATGTAAATCAAAAGTTTCCAGCAGAAACACCAGCAGACTGGAGGAATGTTTTGCAGACCACACGTACAAAACCAGAGCCATACAATGTCATCAATATGACAAGTGACATGTTTTTGAAATTCACAGAATTTCTTAAACCACATTTTTTGGCAGTATGTCCTTTCCAGACCCGCTCGCTTAGAGAGATTCAGATCTCAAAGGGTCATCCTCACCTTATTATGTACAAGGACAGCTGGAATGGACCTTTCAGCTCTATGCCTGTTACTCCCCGACAGGCTAGAGCATCCGGTCGACAGGCTAGAGCATCCGGTCGTGCAGCAAGAGGCAGAAAGCAGACTCAAGCAGCCCATGTGGCTCAGTTATGTGATTATCCAAGGCAAGCCTACACAGCTCCTCTGCCCCTCTCCAGTGCAAAATTTAAAGACTTATCAAAGTTGAAAGATTTTGTGAGTGAGCGAAATAAACCGTTCTTCGAGCAACTGCCTCAAGATGACCTCAGCAGCCAGGAATCAGACCAAGAGGAAAGATCAGACTCTGACTCAGAATCATCAGAATCTTAACAGACTGACAGAAGTTCTGTGTTTGCTTGCATAAGAAAAAGTCTTAATAAATAGTGTGTGCTTTGAATGTCTTTACTATTTGAATTATTTAAGTGTGCAGGATTGCCAGGGAAAAACAACTGATGTCCAAAATGGATGTCTTGGTTATAAATGCATATTGTGAGGATGTATGTTGGCTCAGTAACTAAATCATTACATCTATATATCAGGGATTGAATCCATTTTCATTAAAAAATTCTTTCAAATAGAAATCTTTAAAATCAAATGCTCCTGAAGTCTTCAAACACACAATTTCATTTATCTCAAAAATAGAAAAAGTGGACAACTGTGGGTTTTCCCCTGTAGTCTTCAATTATTATTATTACAGACAGTTTTGTTTTCTTCCCTTGGGGTCTTAGGCTCGAGTTTTGGAGTCTTCATTGGTGTTGTCATTGCTATTGTCATTCCCAAGCCGTTCAGAGACCAGCTTTCTCAAAAGTAAGTTATATTTGTGTATATATAATTCTTTTTTTTATTTGTTCTCTTCAACCAGTTTACTCAAACTTTTCCCCCTTACACACGTCACAATTAGATCTATCCCAATTAAAATCCGTATTGCTATTATTTGTGAGAAAAGATCAGTTCAAATACAGTTGCATCAATTTAAGATTGTTTGAAGACAAGTCAACATCTTTTGCTTTTTGATAACGTCCAAATTAATTCGTTGAAATATATGTTTATGAAATATTTAATGCCAAGTATCGAGTTTCGGTTTGAACCTGAGTGAGGATTTTTTGTTAGTTCATTTAGAATCCAGATTTGACACACATTGAAACAAAAGTTCCACTGGTAGAAGTTTCACTGAAGTATTCTCAGCCAACAATGATTGCCGATCAATGCAGACATGAGTAGTTTGGATTAAATCGTTTAACACATAAAACGAAATATCATTTTTTTTTTCAAATTTATTTTTTTGTGGGGGGGGGGGGGGAATAGGGGTGGGGTGAGACGAATATATGTCTACTTCATTAGCATATTAGGCCCAAACAATTATTAAACGTTTCTTTGACAGTATTTTGCTCTGTCGTTCAATCAACTACGGCAACTAATTTCCAAAGTTATGGTAGACGATCTCCGCAGCTCTGTTTGAAAGTGTAACAATCCTAATCTTGTTTATGAACACATATATAGTGTAAATATACATGACTGTCTAATATATTCGAAAAGCTTTTTTTGATAGTTAATTACATCAACTATTTCAATGAATACCATAGATATATATATTTGTTTGTTTGAAGGCTCCCTAAGTTAAAGTGTTTTAAGGGGCAGAACAAACAAAAGGCCAGCACTACAGGAACAGATCAAGAAAATGACCAAACTCATACCAATCACACTACATGTATCTGTATGGATAAGAGCATGGAACAGGAGATAATTGATACAGGAGTGGGCGTGGCTGAAGGTATTTTGAAACTTGCCGACCCAATATTATAATATCTATTCTACAAAATGTTCGTAGCACAATTTCAAAAAAAAAACACACAACATGGTAGGCTACGTGGAACGTACGTACACAATGCTGTATGAATCATCTCAGCGTGGCAACAAGGCCCACACGAATGGGAGGGGGTTGACAACCATGACCCTTGTCAGGGGCCCGAGCTAGATAGGGGGCCCGCCCTTTATCACGCTTTTAAAATATACGCACACGTTAGAAACTCTTAAAGGGGCCCAAACTCTGTCAGCTGCCTGGGGCCCAGAATTTCCTAGGTGCGGGCCTGGTGACAACACGACTTAATAAGACTGACCTCCTTTAGACTTGGTAGCCTGCTAACATTCTCTTACTATTGTGAAATGTTTTTTTTTTAACGATTTATTTTCTTGCTTTGTCCTTGCGTGAATATATTTTTAAAAAATAAAAAATTAAGTTAACTGAATAAATTGCTAAAAATGTATCTTGTTATTTCGAAGGTCAAGGTGACGAGGATGACGTCATTGGGAAAAGTTCCCGATACAAGCCGCTTTCAAGGAACGCCAGCACCAGTGGTGGGGAGGACGGTGGCGAGACAGATGACAATTTACAAGGGATTTCAACAATTCAGAAAAGAACAAGTAAGAAGTTGGATGACCCGTTACAAAATACCAGTGCCCCTGAAGGTAAGGAGTTGCCCACCGATGAACTGACCAGCCTGCTAAATGATCCTGGGCAGACGAGGGACGCCGAATAACGCTCTATGCCCTACTTGTTAAAGGGGATTCAATGACAATATTGACACTTTTTGTTTGTTTGTTTGTTGTTGTTGTTGTTGTTAATCATGCTCAATATTTATTTTATATTTTAATTCAAATAGTTCTTGACATTGCTACCATTTAATATTATGTTGAAACTGTTTAAATCATTATTATTATTTTGTTCTGTTTAAATATGTTGGACGTATGGTATCGTAATTATACCTTTAAAAACATTCCACACATCTTGTTACGATTCCGACGTGTCCCACGCCTGATATACATAGGGGAACGGTAACGGGTGGGGGATTGGGGGGGGGGGTCTTCTAAAGAAGAGAAGAATCTTGATGTTATTTAGTGATCGATATTACAGATAATCAATAGTTAAATTAAATCATAACAATTGGATGGAACAACTATTGCTGGAATGAAGTAAATAATGTCAAAACCATTTTTTGTGTATTTACTTTCTCTTTTTTTACAATGAAAATCTCCTCATTTTTTTACGACCTTATGAGCCTTGCATAATTATAGTGTGAGAGTTATTGAAATTGATTTTTAAGATATGGCGTTACTTAAAAATGTAAGAGGACATTTCAGGGTGGCTAAAGATATTTTTAATTTGTAGATTTCGTATTTTTTTATATATTTATTTTGTCTAAGTATAATTGGTGTGTTTAATACTCACGCATGATAATAGTATACACTAACCGTCACATCAATGCATAGATACTTTGTTTTTTAAAATAAGGACAGCTGGCTTTAACTATTCCCTAAATATACATGTCAAGGGCCTTGAATATTTTCGTCATGGTTTTTTCCGGTATATTCGTCAAAATTTGAATGTTAGATGTTATGACTTAAGAATAGCATTGAAAAGTATTGCAAAGTGACGTCAATTATTATCTCGGTAACGACATTGGCACCTACATGGACATCCTGGCATTTCTAACCTCAATGACGTCGACAGCTTTTTTTTTCTTCAATTTTTTTATAAGCAAAGGATGAAAATTGTTGGTTTCCAAGTCCCTGTTTGAGACATATTACCATCGTGGACAACACATACACAAACTACATACACACAAACAGAAACAAAAACATTCAAGGAACTTACCTTATGATTTTACTAAGAAGTATGGACTAAACACGTACAATAGCAAATCGCATAGCTTTATGATTTTACTAAGAAGTATGGACTAAACACGCACAATAGCAAATCGCATAGCTTTATGATCTTACTAAGAAGTATGGACTTAGAGACCGACCGAAAGTGATTTTCTGATTTCGGCCGAAGCCGAAAATAGGCCGAAAGATTAAAATGACTTTCGGCCGAAACCGAAAAAAGGCCGAAAGTTAAAAATGAATTTCGGCTGAAACCGAAGCCGAAACCGAAAATAAAATATTAAGATATTTTTAAATTCGTTCCCGCATACATTCTGCATACATCGAAAATGATGTGGTAAAGTATAAATATTTACATTCTTTTTATAAAAAATGAGATAATCGTGAATATTAATAAATAAACTTCTAATATAGGGGTCTCAAACTCGCGGCCCCCAAACTCATTTGTGACCCGCAAGACGATATTTTGCGGATCGCTACATGACAGAAAAGTTTAGTGTTCATGCGCCGACCCGTTTCCCCCATTCTCATATCTATAACGTGACTCTCCGTGACGGTTTCAGTCGAATCTCACCGACTATTCTATTTCTGATTTTTTTTTTTTTTTTTTTAAATGTTTCTATATATTTTTGTATGCAACAGTGAGTAGGTGGATGGAAGTGAATCCTAGTTCTTGAGAACCCTTAAGGATTTTATTGTTATTTATAAAGGTTGAGCAGATTGTAACAGTTGTAATCGCTTTTTTGTGGATTACTTGATGCGGCCCAGGCTCATTCAGACACTAACTCCTGCGGCCCCCTGATGATTTGAGTTTGAGACCCTTGATCTAATGAATACTTTGGATTTCACCATTTTAATGTAAAAGTAATTTAAATTGCTTTACATTTTTTTTAAAATTAGTATGGTAAGAGAAAATTTGGCCCAAAAANTTGGTTCTGAAAGGTCGCTTTATTTGTTTTTAAAGATGGTTTAGTTTTTTGTTAAAGATCGTTAGTTGCTTGCTATTGATCGGTTAGTTTGTTCTTAAAGATCGTGAGTTTGTTCTTAAAGATCGCTTAGTTTTTTGTTAAAGTTCGTCCAGTTTTTGTTAATGATCGCTTTATTTTACTTAAAGATTGGTTAGTTTGTTCATAAAGATCGCCTAGTTTGTTGTTAAAGATCCTTTAGTTTTTTCTTAAAGATCGCTTAGTTTGTTGTTAAAGATCGTCCAGTTTTTGTTAATGATCGCTATATTTGTTCTTAAAGATCGTTTAGTTAGTTCATAAAAATTGCTTAGTTTGTTGTTAAAGATCGATTAGTGTGCTGTTAAAGATCGCTTAGTTTGTTCATAAAGATTCCATAGTTTGTTGTTAAAGATAATTGATTTTTTCCTTAAGATCAATTAGTTTGTTCTTAAAGATCTTTTAGTTTGTTCCTAAAGAGCATTTAGTTTTCTGTTAAAGATCGCTTGGTTTATTCTTATAAATCATTTAGTTTACTATTAAAGATCATTTGTTTTGTTCTTAAAGATAATTTATTCGGTCTTAAAAATCGTTTATTTTGTTCTTTAATGTCGTAGAGTTTGTTATTAAAGATCGCTTAGATGTTCTTAAAGATCGCTTAGTTTGTTTTAAAGATCGTTTAGTTTGTTCTTAAATGTCGCTTAGTTTGTTGTTAAATATCGCTTTCACTGAGTATTAGATGACCAAAAACCTGAGTCACTTTCGGCCGGATGGCCGAAAGTCTAAGTCAATTTCGGCCGAAACCGAAGAAAAACCGAAAGTTAACTTTTCTCTTTCGGCCGAAACCGAAATTAAGCCGAAAGTTAACTTTTAGTTTCGGCCGAAACCGAAACTTGGCCGAAAGTGATAAAATGGCCACTTTCGGCGCCGAAACTGAAGCCGAAGCCGAAATTCGGTCGGCCTCTATATGGACTAAACACGCACAATAGCAAATCGCATAGCTTTATGATCTTACTAAGAAGTATGGACTAAACACGCACAATTGCAAATCGCATAGCTTTATGATCTTACTAAGAAGTATGGACTAAACACGCACAATAGCAAATCGCATAGCTTTATGATTTTACTAAGAAGTATGGACTAAACACGCACAATAGCAAATCGCATAGATTTATGATCTTACTAAGAAGTATGGACTAAACACGCACAATAGCAAATCGCATAGCTTTATGATCTTACTAAGAAGTATGGACTAAACACGCACAATTGCAAATCGCATAGCTTTATGATTTTATTAAGAAGTATGGACTAAACACGTACAATAGCAAATCGCATAGCTTTATGATCTTACTAAGAAGTATGGACTAAACACGCACAATTGCAAATCGCATAGCTTTATGATTTCATTAAGAAGTATGGACTAAACACGTACAATAGCAAATCGCATAGCTTTATGATCTTACTAAGAAGTATGGACTAAACACGCACAATTGCAAATCGCATAGCTTTATGATGTTATTAAGAAGTATGGACTAAACACGTACAATAGCAAATCGCATAGCTTTATGATTTTTACTGAGACGAATGGAGTAAACACGCACAATAGCAAGTATTGCGTTACATGGAGTGATGGATTACGTGTCTTATGTAATGTAATTATAAATATACCTATATTTAAATTAATGGAAACAAATAGGCATATATATACGTCTATATGTTTATATGTGTATATATATTTATATAAATATGTGTGTGTGTGTGTCTGCGTGGGTGCGCGTGGATTTATTTTTAAGATGTAATCAGTTCACGAAATAAGCAACTGATTTATTTCTTCTTTTAAAACATGCTCTTTATCGTTTTCAAAGCTAAGATTTAAGACACATGTCCTTATTAAAAAAATCACACCTCTATAAATCTGTCTTAGATCTCATTATACGAATTTTACTTTTGTGAAGTTCTTATAAATTAATATTATTGTAAATGGCATTTTTTATGATGGAGGCTATCACCTTTAACATTGAGAAATTGCCGTGAGCTAGATTTGAACAGACTTTATACATTGTTCTCCAAGGTTCTCCTTGAACATGTTCATATTGAGAAATACAGACATCCAAGGTTTGTTCAGAATATACTGTATACATAAAAATGCCTCCTAAACCCAAACCCCTATTTTTTTTACCTTAGAAAATAAAAAAAAAAAAAAAAAAAAAAAAAACCATCTTTCATCTTGACCTGAACTGTTTGATGGGATTTTAGTGCCAAAAAAAATTATTTTTTTTTGTGTGCTTTGAAATAAATTCTAAGATTGAGTGTGTTGTTTTGTTGAATTGACATGTTAGTTGTTTTTAAACATGCCAAACTAAATAACTTATGCAAACTTTAAAGTGTCTTTGTTTGAATTTTAAAAATCTATATATTTTTTGTTTAAAAATTATTATATTAATGTATAACCTAATGCCACTGTGTATATTATATGCGAAATTAGCGTGTGACTGAAGTTAAATAAAATATTTGACACAAATTTTCATTGTGTGCAAGATTTTTTTTAATATTCGATTATTATTCTTGCACATGTTAGTATTCTGTTTTATAAATCTCACCGTCATTTAAACATTTAAACTTCTTAATTAAGCAATTAATCAATCGAAATGCTATATTCAGCAATTCATTGATCACAAAAGAATCTCAAAAGGAAAATTGCCTAAGGTCCAGGCTTCACTCTTAGCGTTGTTTTGTAAGCACACGATTTCTTTGGTAGGTTTTCTTTTAGCACACTGTACACTGACTTTCATAAGTATCATGGAGTATGGCTTATTCGGTAAACCCGTTATACTGCCTTACACCAAGTGAACTATGGCTTATTTAGAAAAAAGGTAAGATTTTTAAAAAATATAGAAAGATTATATGTTTATATTATAGATTATAGTTATATCCTACTTTTATAAAACTATATTTAAAGGCTTACACATTCGGAGGGGAGCGAAAAAGCTTTACTTTTTTTTTTTAAAGTTATTTTATGCTAAGCTTGTATCTATTTGTGTTCATACGCTTTACCTAGTCAGACAAACGTCTCTC